CTCGTGGGCCCCTTGACCGCGCAGTCCTATCTTCTTCCGTTACTGCTGCCAATACTAGCCATTGGTAACCACTGAAAACAAGTAGCGAAATATCCGATCATGGCGAAGACGAAAGGGGGAGATTGAAGAAAAGTCGTCTACTGATGAGTCAAAAAATACGACAGGTGCTGGCAACGTCAACGGCATAACGTTTTTATGATGAAGTAGTATTTCAACGAGGCAGTAACTACCGCAAATAGACAAAAACAATATCGGATGGCTGGACAGCCATCCGATAGTCACTGAAATATCTGGGTGGTCTCACTTGTCATCTTTCGATGTCATCCGTCCATGGCTCGATTGGACTCTTCCCGGTGACTATAGATACATGCACAAGTGAAAAGAAGCGTTTGTTAGCATCAGACACCTTCAGGATTTGGTACCAAATAACAAGGCTAAAGCACAATTAGAAGAACAAGCCTAAACTACAAGAAACTTAAACTTGGACACGTATTATAGAAATATTGAGAAGATATTAATCATAAAAATAAGTACTAAGCCGGATAATTGCCTCTTCATTACATATATATATATATATATATATATATATATATATATATATATATATATATGTATATATTATAAGAAATGTTACAAAAACAGTTCACCAGAGATAGGTCGCTTTTTGCTAATTTCAATGGACACTTATTATGTTTAGCTAGCTCTATGACTACCTAACTTACCCTAAAATTACATTTATGATCCGTTTATTTGGTTTTGACGTAATTTCACTTTGTAAGCCATTCTGTTCTAAGACTAAGCTTCAAGTGCGCTTATATTTGCAGAAGTATACAGTAGTATGCTGATTCTAATCCCAAGAAAAAGACTTTGTTTGTGGTTTGACTAGTTGTATCAGATGGCATTTAGTGCCGTTACATACAGCGTATATAACAGAGTACAAAAAATGACCTTAGCAAACTGTTTGGTTAACAAGAGCACCAAATGCATTCGAAAACATCGCACCTCATGCTCTTCGCCATTTGCTTTCTCCTTTCTGTTATGGTAGATTCTTTTTCATTGTACGCCCTTAGTGCTGCTAAGGATAATATAATTAGAAGCGTGGGCTGGTTTTATTTCGTTGACAAGCGAGACAAAGTGTAAAATGCAATTTTGCTACCGGCGGGGAACAGCAATATGATGACGGTGATATTCTGTTATCATGCGTGAGTGAGCTATCTTTGAACGTGACGTTTGTTCTAACGTGCGCCTTAATTCTAAAGTGTAATGGTCTTTGGTAATCTGTCATACCGACACCCTAGGTCGCACTACCTCTTGATTGAATGCGTAACGACGATACCGAACGTTAAACTCAAAACATCGGTCGCGTTACCTAGAATAGATTCAGAAGAACCTAGGATAGCTTTAGGGGAACTCCGCACATACCAAGGAGCAGTTTTTATTATGTTTATTACTATACATACCGCCCATAACGAGTATTCCATTCCCTATCAAGAGGTCTTATTTTCGTTACAAGCGGAAATTGTCTTAAATCGCATGGTTAGCGGGTTTCTATACTTTGAGGTTTCGAACACAGGCTACGTTAGATCTGAACAGCGAGTTCTAAGCGAGTCATGTGACTGCATATATGGCGGGACTATTCAAACACGGTTCTTCCCGCGCGCAAGTACTCAATGTATCGTTATATTCCCATAATACATAATGTATATATATATATATGTAATAACCAATATATATATATGTAATAATAAAAATATTGGTTTAACAAATACCTTTAGCTGCTCATCGACAATTTCAAATCGCATTATCCCAGTGTCCACCTTTAGGTACGCAACACATAAGGTACATTTATTAAACCGCGATTCCCCTTCGCTGATCTTTTCTACATTGGGCATCAACTCGATTTGAGACTCGCTAGAGGGGTTTATTTCCAACTTCTAATCAGAAGCTATTCTTTCTCCCGTCTTCTCTTCTGCTGTTTCAAACGTCAAATTCGTCCCACTCTCTACTACAGGCAATGACCTGCTGCAAAGTGATAGAATCATCTCGATCCAAGTGAGTTGATTTCATCCGCACAGATAGTGATCGAATGAAAGGCTCGTATGCAGGCAGGTCTGCTTAGGTAGATATGCACCCCCCGGAAATCGATAAGAGTCCCTTTCACGAAAACCTCAGAAAGTTGACATCGAGACAACAATGCCATAAGCAAAATCCGACGATAAACACGCGATCTAACAGTGTGTAACTGCTTGATATTCATCCCTACGTTTATTACGATAGCACAGCTATCGTACCTAGACTATGAATCATTCCGTAAGCGAGATTTGCCATGAAGTTGGTCGGCGGTGCGTTATATTGCAGTAGAGAAGTTGATAGATTTGCAAAGCGATGAGCCATATCGTATATAGCTCGCACGGTTTCCGCCCTGTGATCTGACGCCATGTTATAATGCGACGCTCACGGGCTGTAGCGAACATTTGGCGGCGAAGACCGATGTCACTGCATAAATACTGATTCAAAGACTCGGAAGCCGCTTATTGCCTTCCGACCTGTGCAATGATGGAACGCTTGTTGTATGGCTGCATCCTATAAATCAGTACATGCAAAAAATATGAGGGCATCCCTACTTGGCTCGCCTATCGTACCAAGGTATTTTATTTGATTTCTCAATCTTTGCATATATTCATGGCAAAACAAGGCAGATTTGTAAAGCTTTTCTCATCAGCAAGAGCCAAAATCCTTATCGAGGAAGAACAGAAGAGCAACAACTTGTAATATGGGTTATCTTTTTTCTAACTAGGCGGCTTTGAAATCACATCCCTCAGGAAAAACGAGCCGCGTCGGCATTGGCATTATTTTTATCTTTGTCTTTATCGTAATCGAATTGTAAAGAGATCCAAAAAGACACAAACGGTGCCCACACCCGTAAAAAATTGTTTCGTTTACAACCAAAATACGTTGTCGAAGAAAAAGGTCCAAGGGTAGTCCTATCGCTTTCGTTTTCGAACTATCTGTGTCAAAAATGCTTCTCGTAGAGCAAGACCGACACGCGATTATCATAATGTCACTAAAGAATTAAACATCTACCATAAAACAGTTCCAAACCATTTGAAAAAACTCTGGATATAAACAAACTTGTTATTTACACCCGCACGAACCGATGCAAAGGAATGTATTCGATCGCATTTTTACCTGCAAAATTCTACAAAGACAACGAAATTTTCAAAGCACTTAATAATAATGTAAAAAAAAAAACAAAAAACGGGCTCCACACCCAAAGCCCAAACTGAGGCCAAAGGAGGTAATGCAATACGCTTGGACGAATTGGAACGGAATTATGCATTATGAGTTGCTGCCACCTCGTAAAATTATTGATTTCAATCTTCGTGGGCAACAATTAACAGGATTACAACAAACAAACAATTGAAAAAAATCGACCGGAACCAGCGAGCAGAAAAAGCATCGTCTTCCATCATGACAACGCCAGGCTATATACGTTTTTGGAGTCCCGGAAAAATTGAGAGAACTCGGATAATAGATTTTAATGCCTCTACTGTATAATCCGTACCGTGCGTTATCAGGCTGTCATTGGTTTCGGTCTCTATAGATAAACTCCCTTAATAATACTAATTCAGTTTCAATAAAAGGATGCAGAAATCAGTTGTCACAATTTTTCGCCGAGCAGTTACAGAAGTTCTAGAGTGATGGAATTGTAACATCACTAGAAAAATGGCAGAAAATATTCGATCAAGATCGCACATAGCTAGTTTAGTAATATTATTTTAGTCAGAGAAGATATTTGCTTCAATTTTGGCTTAAAAATGATAAATACCTTTTTCCACAACTCAATATATGGATAACTTAACGCCTTTTACCTTTCCGTGATTAGCACAATAGGCTTCTTAAGTCTCGGGACAGCTGTCATATAGAGAAGTATAAGTTCGTTGTCAGTGGTCTATTTCGACCTAATGATCATGCCTCTTCTAAATTAGCTAGACAACGGGTTTTTTGAGCATCTTTCGAACTCCATAAATGCTTTTCCTTTGACAAGAGAAAAAACTTTTCTCCCTTTAACCGAAAGGTCTTTCATAATGTAGATGCTTGCTTCCGTACCTTTTACCACTTAGTCTAAACCAGGATTGAAACCGGCTTAGGCGGCTGTAGATATCTAAAACAAAGGCGCCCCATATCTGGGGATACTCATCGTGTATACGACTGTTCCAAAGTTTTCGCAGAATACCACTACTTCAAACCTTCGCTCTGCGCGTATGCCGCTGTATTATCGATCCGTTAATGCAATGCCAACCGCATAGTGAAATAGCATCCAGCCATAGCACCTTAATCTTATCGAAAACTCATCGGTGTGCCTATTCCCTGTTTCTCACCTTGCTGGAAGTCGATAACAGCAGACATCCACATTTGTTCAAACGGATACAGCAGGCCAGCGACCTAAAGCCACTGGCACAATTACAACGATTCACTGGCACCTGGTTACACCTAATGCCGTTCGAACTACTCAATCGTCAAACCTCCTTGAATTGCGACAAAAAAAAAGGCTAACAGCCGGGCTGGTATAAACTGCATGCGAAATCGATTGTTGACACACCTAGCCAGTACGTGTAATAAATATTAATAGAAAACTGTAAATATGTGTGTTCACGCTTGAATATGGCAACAGTGGTATGGTACGCATGTCTTGTTTGCGATTTTAAAAATTGAAATTATTTAGCCGTTCTGAAAAATGAAGGCTGGTGGCAGTTGATTAAAAAAACTTAGCAACTTAGGCGGTTGAGCAACGAGAGCTGTGAAGAAACCCGGTCTCGTAAGATAAGTTATGTTGTATTAAAGCAAAATCACATGTCTTGAAACTGACGCATTGAAGAACAGCGGCAAAAGTAAACTAGACACAAAGGCCCATGTCAATTCTCTAATTTCCAACTTTCTCTACAAACATGGCTAAGCAGAATTTTTGTGTGTGTTTACATATTACTTTATTCTCGGAGGCGAGTATAGCTCAATTTTAAACTCTTTCTGTAACGCTTTTTTCCTGCTCGATTCTACCGTGATCTTTGCTCCGCTTAATTACCTTACATTTGTGTAGAGACATCAGCGGTTCGATGAGGTGCAAAGGGAATTACATCACAGTTCTTCATCATTCATTAGTTAATTATGATAATCATTTATTGTGAATTATTATTATTATTATATTTGTCCCTACTAGCATTGCGGTTACGAACAGCACCGTATATGGTTGACATCTGCTCCTTTAGTCTGAGAACTTTTTACAGTCTCCAGATCGAATTCGATTGTACTATTATTAACAGTGGTCTCGTTTCTCCGCTGCGGCCTTCCTGGTTGCTGGGTCATAATGATGAAGCCCTGTCATCGTCCCGTTTCAGTGAACTTCTCCATTGTCTAAGCTATTTTGGTACTTCGCTATGTTACCTTTATAGCATATCTCTGTAATCGGATAGTTTATAAATTACTATGTCAGTTATCTTGCCAATCGTTCTGTTCCTTTACATGTCCTGTGGCCCGTAGCAGATGTTCTACAGCCATTTTTCGGTCATGCGGCCTGTATTGATTTCAAGCCGACATTGCACTGCCAGCTATATTTCGAAAAAATTAGCTAGTTTTATATTCAGACACTTCATTATATATTCAGACAAAATTTCTGATAGGTACGAGAAGCGTTATTTTAATATATTAGAACCGCGGTAACGACTATTGGGGCAAACGAGTTGAAGAATAGCGGGTGCACGTACTCTAACTTAGAAAAAGTTGAATCTTCGTTGGCGTTAACATACGGTCTCCATTCATAGATGGCGTCACAATAGGTCCACCTATAAGATGAATATAGAACAGATCAGTATCAAATGGACACGATGGGGGTGTTCATTAAACAAGTATATTCACCGACTCGCTGGGCACAGTCAAGCGCAATGGCCTAGCAGATACAATTATTACGGGGGACTAAAAATAGCTTCAAGCCTTGTAGAATGGCTGAAATTAATGGTTTACCTGTGTTTAATAATACAGCATCGAAGATCCACTATTGGCAGTAATTTTTAGCACCTACACTAGACAGATCGCTGATTTAAAATGAAAATACATTTTTAGAGCGTATTTCCTATTTCCACTTAATTTGCAGACACGTTCAGATCATTGCAAAGACGCGCAGAATTAGCTCAAAAATAAAAAAATATACTAAAGATAATTAAATTATCAGCACCCAGAGCCCAAAGATTTCAACAGAGAAGATAAATAATATACTTTAACTGATGCCTTGGCTCATTTAAAATAGAAAACAAAGTTAACGAAGCCATGGGTGGATTGTACAGCATTCCGGGGAAAAAGATTACACATTTTTTGTTGACGGATACATTTGACGAGCGTAACTCGGATGAAACCTCGATGTGTCCGAGTTCCAATATACTAATAAACAATCACTACAGCAGAAAGGTTTCCCCGGTTACAAGCTCTCCAATGTCATTTCTTACCAACCTCAATCAATGCCCATATTTATGCCCGTTTTCGCAGTCAACATACACCAAGAAGTATATGGATTTTTCTAATATCGAACATTTTCGGCCGTCACCGACCGATGTTGCCGCTCGAGCGCCTCTGTCGACAAGGATTCCTCCTGTTCATGCTTGTTCAAAGCCATCTAGCTGTGCTTTACGGCCTAGTCTAAAACGGTCCGCATCGACAATCAGTTGCAGGGAATCGACGCCATTGATAAAAAAAAATTGCACATCACCAAAACAAACTTCTATTGGGTCGCCAGCAGGATTTCGAACGCAATCGACGCGAAAGAGGTCTGCTTCGAGCACCAGATGCGAGGAGGAGTCGAGGACGCCAATCAAGAAGTGCCGCATGCTGTGTAAATGTCCCCTATGCCTGTTAAGCATGGAGGAGTTACAAGAACAAAACGTGATGTTCTCCCACCTTCTTCCCACCAAAGGCTTCTTCTCACCCACTCTCAGTCGCTGTGCAGGCACCATGATCACTTCAATGGCGTCTATCGAGTGCCCAGTATGTTGGACACCAGTTAGGTGATTTCGCCGCGTGCAGCCTTTCGCCTAAGATAGTACAACCTTAAATTAAGACTGAGTTCTACAAATGTTAACACACGATAAGCAGAGGTACTTGTCGTAGAGAAGACGCAAATACGAACACGAACCACGGATCTGCAAGGTGAAAATTAGCAAGTCAGACATGACATACGCTACCTTTACACCTGATCCATTAGCAGACGAACAAGAAAATCTGTATTTTGCTCAGGCAACGACAAGCCAATCAGTCGGTCTTTCATGTCGAAGTCTCTCCAATATGACCTAAATTTGTACATTACTTAACCAAATAAATGATGAATTACTAGTTTTTGGATCGCTATTGCAGCGTTAACGCGTTCAAACGTTCCCGCATTCAATAAAATCGTGTGATTAGAGGTACATGTGATTCTGTTGCGAGCATGCGACAACGACCTTTTGAGCGAACTTCTTATAGGACTGACGTTTCAGTCTCGTATAAACGGTGTACCCATGTGGAATAATTACCAACCTGTAAGTATGAATTCGCCATAACCCGTTGGGTGCTCAAGGCTTCGAGAGGATGCGCCAGACAGAATAGACAGAACGTCTTAAGCCAATCGGACGTTTTCACTACGATGACGGAACAAGTCATAGAACAACAAAATTGTCATAGAACAGGGTTAGATATAAGAACTCGCAGGGTATGTTATATGCTGTGAACTTACAGACTAACAAATAAGTTACGCAGTGTATTATGCTATTATGAAAATGTAGTTATATGGGTGCGAGGCGCACTGTTCTACGAGCTTCAACGATTAGCAATGCAGAAAAAGCTCAACAATAATGTTGTCATAGATACTTTGAAGACCATTGTGAAGATATATGTAAAAGTTAGAAGAGTCACATAAACATACGCTAATGTTAGCCAACGGCAAAAGTTGACACGAGAAACCTGCCGATCATAGCCGACTGATCGACGACCAACAAACTTAAACCTGAATAACGACTAAGAGCCTGGCGGGTCTCCATTGAACCCATTAACTTCAATTACTCATTTCCCTCATTCATTTTCAGGCTATCGATGTTTGTAACAGATAGCCGAGAATTTCAGCTTGACCACAGGCAGCCTCTTCCATGAAGTTGTCTAGTTTGCCTTTATTCCTGAAATTATCTTCTAAACAGAGACTACCTACTCGTTGGCAGAGTAGGCCGATGGGAAAAAAACTACAGCGTAGAGAAATCAACGAAGAACAGTTCGTCAGGATGGCCAATAATATATTGATGAATGGAGCGGTGCGTTTTTTTATTGGTTGGCTTGTTTATGTTCGATGCGACCATTGTTTTCCACATGAAGGCATTCATCCAATTGAACCGAGAGGTTCCCGCACAGCAGCCGCCTGGGTACACAGTTAATATAGTCGTGAGTTAATTATGTAAAAAATAAATCTGCCATTTTCGCCGTTGTGAATGTATCTCAACGGTAATATTCAACGTCAAACTCAAAGCTCCCATTATAGTTACTGTGCTCATAAATGGCACCAGAAGCCCTGCTAGTAACGCGTGAAAGTAAGAAAGCTATCAATCTCGTTTTTTACTATATAGAATAGAAGACAAACCTACGACAAAGCTTTTACTTACCACGAAAAATTATACGCACATTTAGAAATTGCACATAAAATTCGACCGTGTACTGTATATAGTTGTGCTCATAATCATCCAATCTATTACCATAGTAAAGTTGGGACGTGGACTTCATAAAAATCACACTTCTCTCCGCACGATGGAAAAAATATCTACTTTTTTTTTTTTTTTTTTTATTCGAGTTCACTCTTTTGTACACAGTGAACGACTTGTACATGGGTTGATGTACATTCCAGTTAACTCAGACTTGATCATAAATCAGAACTAACAAACGGCAAACACGGCGAGACTGCGAAGTTGGTCATGGTCAAGCGTTCCAATTTCTCGTACTTTTGCAATTCCAGCTTTTAACTTGTCATGCAATATCCACTCTTTCTGTATTTATTCAATAACGAAACCGCTTATATATTTCTGCGCCGTTGTTACATTTATTTCTGTCGGAGAATGAATTTTCATTGTTGCAAAACCACTCAAGAGCTTCGTTTCATTCAGTGTCCTTTGAGGAACTGCGAACGGTCGCCACTATCTTCTCTTCTACGTGCACGCAACTTCAGATGGTGGCCCTGTTGCTCGTGAAGGCCCTTCCTACTGCGACTGGGATTACGTACGACTCCAACTACTTTCTCCAACGAACAAAATAACGCTGGAACAGCTCCCGGGTTCCTGAGAGAAAATGAACGTAGTCGTTTGCGTCGGCTTTGCTGATGCCCCTGTTTGCCTCTCAACACGGCTTGCTACCCCAGCAGGTGCCGTAGCTCCCACATTCGCAATGGATTGGCATAAAAGAAACACGACAGAAGCACACGTACACTTTTGCACACACGCAAAGATAGACGGGAAGACAAACAACCGCGAAAGTACTTATCCTGTAAAGAAACGCAATAGACCCAATAGACAGGAGGACCCGACGGACGAACAGGGCGCCGAATAGAAAGGACGGCGTGATTTTTCGATTCAGAGGCGAGAGCAAAAGGGGTAACATATTCACATTCTAGAAGGTATCGCTCTGGAAATAATGCATTATTTATCGAAAGTCATATGATGGAATCTTTTGGTTTGTCTCAATAAAGCGTGGTGCAAACAAACATGTAGGTCTAATGATCGCTGCGAGAATCATCATTTGTGTCGCTGTCCTAATCGCTTTTGGGTGCTTTAGTATGTGTAATACCTTGTATTCACAACAGGCTGTCTATGACCTAGGGTTGGTTCAGGCCGCGCTAGCAGCATGTCCCTAGATAGATACGACTAAACGAAGAAACAACATACATACCTATCGTACGAAAATGTATATTTCTCTTCTACCCAACCGGATGCTCGACATGATCGTAGCTATTTAAATTTGGCCTCATTCTCTTTTCGGCCAGTATGCTTTTGAAATACATTTCCCCGGCCTATCTTTGGAACCGATTCGGAATATATATTAGCTACATATTTCACATGTGGTGGTTCGACTATTGACCGCGATAACATACTTATACTTTGCATTATTCAGCTAAAATTATAGCCAGTGGCCCGAGCCTTCGTTATAAAGGTATCTGACGCCATTTTGATTTGACTCCGAATGTTCCGATACCTGGAACACCGTAAAGTCATATACAGTTGTAATCATGCCATGGTATCCAATGGGCATCATACTATTTCGTAATCATTTCCTGCTTCGCTCGAGAATGCCCTCGGTCGCCTTTTCCTCACAATAGTATTTGACAAACTTTAGGGAACATATATATATATATATATATATATAGAAAGAATAGAAATACAATAAGTGTTTAGCTTGCTCTATCTTTCGATGGACGGAAACGGTGAGATAACAGTCCCATAACGCGGTATTTCTCCTTCCGGCTAAGCCGTCTTGGCTCATCGAACCTGAGCATCTCACCTCTTTCACCATCTGCCATGTCGCTAGATGCCACTAGTACCACACCACACAACACTCTCCCATAACGATTCAATATCAACAGTCATTTTGCGTTCAGGTGGTACATGTACGATGCGAAACGGTTGAGGTTACCTGCAGTCCAGCGCTAGACGAGAACACCAGGAGATTAACGACGATACAGACGCGTGGCATATAGATGATTACTTTCGTTTGGTTTCTAGGTTGGTTGTAGATTAGACTGAAGGTGAGCACACTCAATGCGCAACTATTACTGTATATATTTCTTTTTTAAAATTAATAGAAGTTTGTGTGAAACGAGATGTTCCTAACCTAGATAATCGACTCGATAAAATACTAGACAAATTCTTACATTGGGTCACTGTATTCGCGAAATTTTTTTCAACGCTCATATAAAATAAAGCAGAGATCTTTTGTTAACCTATTTAGTGTATATGAGCAAAATTGTAAAGAGTCATCTCCTGTTTTGGATTTTAGATGAGATTTTTTTCGATATTTTTTTACTTCACACGATAGTTAATAAAACATCAAACGTTGGAAGGAAACAAAATTATCTTTGACTTAATACACATCTAAAGATCCCCACTTATTCGCGAACAGACAAGCGCAAAGGTCCTTTAAAATCTAGGATCCTAATCCCAGACCTGATTTCTCGAGAACGGTATAGAAGATATTATATATATATATATATATAGAAGAGCAACAGTTTTTCGGAAAACCTATTGCATGTATCAGTGGTCAAACAACGAATGGTAAAAACATTCCGACAACAGGCTAAATATTCTGACTGTTGATCAGTGATCAGAGCTATTACCTGAAATGCAGACCATAGCAGTAACCGTATGGTGACTACTACCAGCATGCGTTCGTCTGATCATAACCGTCTAACGGTTGACTCGTTACCGGTACAGGCCACTTCGCAGAATCTGATATTGCCGACCCCTGCCAAGTCTCTTTTTCTCTTATCTACTGTAATCCTCTCTGCGTTTCGCTAAGTAGAAAGGCGATAGGTTCGCTGCCTTAGCAATGGCTGAGAATCGCAACCCCCTATCATATGTCATTAATCTAACGTGTCGTGTGTTCTGAACGTACTAGTCGAAGGCAACGACGCAGCTAAAACTGACCACTGCAGGACTCAAACACGAACCTGTACCGGCAGCGGAACTATTTCCAGCTTCAAAGAAGCATCGTTACGCGTTCGTTTCATCAGATTTTTTTTTTCCTAATTATTCCTTATACGTTTATTTGAACATCTGCGTCATGTATACAGATTAGATATAGTGAAACTACGAATATCAGATGTACGTCCGCGGAGTTTCGAAAGTAGGCAGATTAGAGATTAGGTACGAACCTACGAAGGGGCATCTACGAAAAGCAAGGGTCAGACAATCTTTTGCGTGGTACCGTGCACGTTGATATTCTGGAATGTATGTTTCCCTGACCAGGCTTCAACCTCATAGCGACTGCGGACTCGTAGCCACAGAAGCTACCATATTATAACGAAATTGGTGTGGTGCTTATGATTTTTCTCTCATCTATATCTTAGCTACGGTGTCCCTTTCATGACAGAACAAAAAAACCTGCTGAAGAGGCTACATCTTGGTCAACAAACACTGCGCAAACTATCTTCCAAAAGAAGATGAATTGAAATTTATTTTTGGCTCCGTGCATTTGACTAACAATATCATACAAATCTATATGGTTCTATCTATTAACTAGTGGATTCTAGGACTATCATTTTAAAATGGTTCCTCTCGGCGCAACCGTTTAGAGTAGAATTTATCTTTACTTTGCTGTCAAGCGTGAGCTGGCCGCACTTTCATAGTCTGCTGATTAGATAGATGCACATCTGCTGATCTGGATAGTTTTTTTTTTTCGAGGGTAGCATTACGTATAGTTTGGTAGCAGTTGAAGAGCCCTATCGTACAATGAAAGTGACGGCCATTTTGAAAGAACAATCTTTTTTTCGTTTACCGCGGTGAGTAGCCGGGCAAGCAGTACATTGTAACAAATCTAAACTCGGCTGGTTGGATTGGAATTTACCGGGTCCATTTCGATTTGTCGGCCGGGCAGGAAGACTGTTAGTAACTCTCTGCGCGAACAGGACTTTATCGGATCTAATATCAGAGATTAGGTTTCTATTTTTAAGTCAACTTCAGATAAGCAGGCAAAAATAACTACAGACGGGACAAGTTTATAGAGTTAGAAGTGCTGGTGATGGCCAGATCGAAGAGAAGGCCTCATTTAAACACTTTGCGCGCTCTTGAAGAAGGAGATGCTTACGCTACGAATTCACGTCGACTGGCTTCTGGTAGAAAACAGAAAATGCTCGCCCAAATTTTACCAATTCATCTACGACGCAATGGTCTGCCTGAATCATTGACTCGTCATACTAGTCTTTACACAGGCAAATATCCACCCCCATGTCAGGTTCTGTGTATATCTAGGAACTGCTAACCTAGGAAAACCTGTTAGTTAGTCTGTTCTAGAACACAGCCGCAAACAACATGTACCGATACGTAAGAACGTTAATCAATACGGCTTCACTGAATAAATACCAGTATATATATATATATATATATATATATATATATATATGATTACCGCTCACCCACCGCACACCCAACGGCTCGTAACGAGTTTGATGTCCAAAAGTGGGAAGATTGCTTTTGACTGCATTACCAAACAGATAAGCCAGTGTCGGGGAACCGGTAATGGAACGAAGATATCTTAGCAGCGTACGCGCGTCTAATGCTTCCTTTCAACTCGAATTTCGACCATAGATCTGCAACAGTCTTGCGCTACTTTTCAATACAATGCAACCATCTAATCCAAAGTTCTCCAGTCAAACCGTTGATGGCGATGCTGTTCGTACGAGGTAGTCTCATAGAGACTTTACAGAACGCTTTGAGAGAAGTGACGCCGCTGGTCTTTCATCGACGGCGGCGCACTATCAGCAACAATAACAACGTCCTTCGTTAAGAATTCTCCTGTTCGCAATCTTTTCCTTTCACTTTGGCAACTGCTGCAGCCGGCGACGCTGAGGAAATAAATGAGATGCAAATCTTGGGCGGGGCAAGGGGGGGGGAGGTGAACGTGTGAAGTGTTTGCGCTAGCTGCTTTTGCTTGTCATTCAATATACTCGGCCCCTTCTCTGGTGTCTCGGTTCATTCGTTCGACCACTCGTTGCCTACTTGCAGAAATAGTCGTCATCAGCGAGTGCCGTTAGTAGAAACTTTTCGAGCCGTTTCCACTGCGTACATGGACGGCATTACTTCAATACACAGAAGCTTTACAATGGAAAGCCGACGAACTTTGTTAATTCGCCATTTTATAATGAACACTGGATTTTGGAACAATCTACGCTTCTTCACTACATTTGGCCTTGTTCAGGCTCATAGCAAACAGCGGCTCACTTGAGCCTTACTTAAGTTTCACTGATAGTATGGATGGGTCCTAGGAATCTATAGGAATATGCTCGAGTAGACGTTCGTAATAAAATGTCTGAAGTTCAGCTCACTCTACAGTTTCCAGAATATCTTCAATGTGGAGATCTTCGAAAAATGGCCATGGTCTTACCGACTCGCAGTACCCAGCTCAGTTCACGAAACACTGAACTCGACCGTTTAAATATTTGCTTAATGTTTGTTTAAACATCTGTCTCTAACAGACTCGTTCGTTTTTGCTAGGCCTATGCGAATTCACTAGAATTCCTAGATGCTTGTTTCGATGCCTTTGTCAGCGCTTTCAATAGCTAAAGGTTAAATGAATTTAAAGTCGTGAACTTTCTGCCCATTTACCTAAACAAATCGCGACGCAAATTTATGAAATTATTATGTAGATATGTAACGCTAGGGCGTTTACAAAAACGAGTTCGGTCACTTTTGGCACATGCCATTTTAAATTCCATAGACAGCGGGCTTGTAGCTCCCCATTACGTAATAGACATATAATAACATGGAACGGATA